TTATAAGACAACAAGCATACAATAATTATAATTTAATTATGAAACAAACAATGACAAATAATAATTTATTCTAAAAATCAAGAAGAACATAGGCAATTTAATATTTAATATGCTAAATGTCAAGTAGCAATTAAAATACATAAATAAAATAAACATGTAACAATTATTGATAGAATTCAAGAATTAATATTTGACAAAGAATAGGAGAGAAACAATTATTATAACAATTAATTCGTATCTTAAAATAATTTAAGATGCTTAAATAATTAAGCAACCAATTAAATTGACAAAGTATAGACACTCGTCACCTTGCCTATACATCGTTGCACATGAAATTCACATAGTCAAATAATTCAGGGGTTCTATTCCCTCAAGTCAATGTTAACCACGACACTTACCTCGCTTTGCAATTTCAATAAATTACTCGACCACATTTTTTCCTTTTATATTTGTCTCCAAAAGCTTCAAATCTATTCACAAAAATTCGATATACTCAATACGAATCATAGGAATTAATTCCATATGAATTTACTAGTTTTTCGGATAAAATCCGAAATTCACTTTAAAAATTGACAGTGGGGCCCATGCCTCGAATCTCGGAAAAACTTATGAAATCCGAACACCCATTCCGATACGAGTCCAACCATACAAAAATTATCCAATTCCGATTTCAAATGGATCTTCAAATCATAAATTTTTTTTTTTGGAAAGTTTTACAAAAATTCTAATTTCTTCCATCTAAATCCAAAATAAATGATGAATATAGNTTCAAATGGATCTTCAAATCATAAAAAAAAAAAAAAAAAAATTGGAAAGTTTTACAAAAATTCTAATTTCTTCCATCTAAATCCAAAATAAATGATGAATATAGGCATGGATTTATGAAACATAATCACTTTTGGTTATAGAACACTTACCCAATTGAAAGTTGTTAAAAATCGCTTTGGAATCGCCAAAATCCGAGACTCAAAACTCAAAAATGAGTAAAAATGGCTATAACCCGATTTTATGTGTTCTGTCCAGCATTTCCGCTTCTGCGGACAATTGACCGCAGGTGACTAGAAGGCCAAAATTTAAGATTTTTTCTTAAGTCCAAATTTTGATCCGTTAACCATCCGGAATCCACTCGAGCCCTACGGGACCTCAACCAATTATACCAACAAGTTCTAAAACATCGTATGAACTTAGCTGAGACTTCAAATCACATCAAACAACGCTAAAATTATAATTCACACATCAATTCGCACTTTGAGTTATAAACTTTTCAATTTGCAAATGGCGTGCCGAAACATGTTAAATGAATCCGGAATGACTTCAAATTTGGCACACAAGTCATAAATGACATAATAGAGCTATTCCAATTCCAGAATCGGATTCCGACCCCGATATCAAAAAGTCAACTCCATGGTCAAACTTGAAAATATTTAGCCTTTAAATTTCTAGTTTCCGTTAAATGATCATAACTTGAGCTAGGGACCTCCAAATTAAATTTCGGGCATACGCCCAAGTCCCAAATCACAATACGGACCTATCGGAACTGTTAAAATACTGATCTGGGTCTGTTTGCTCAAAATGTTGACCAAAGTCAACTCAATTGAGTTTTAAAACTCTATTTCATATTTTAATCTATTTTTCACATAAAAACTTTTCGGAAAATTATACGGATTGCACACGCAAGACGAGGAATGATAAATAGTGCTTTTCGAGGTCTTAAGACACATAATTACTTATTAAATTTAAAGATGACCTTTTGGGTCATCACAGCAAGTTGAAGTGTCAAATAGAGAGATAAAGTAGATCTTGGAGAAGATGGTTAGTGCAAGTAGGAAAGATTCGGCTGCAAAGCATGATGATGCTCTATGGGCATACCGGACTACCTACAAAACTCCAATCGGAACCTCCCCTTACAAGCTAGTTTATGGGATGACATGCTATTTACCGGTGGAACTTGAGCACAAGGCCTATTGGGCGATAAAGAAGCTGAACTTTGATGCAAAATTAGTGGGTAGAAAGCGGGTGATGCAATTGAATGAGCTTGATGAGTTTCACTTACATGCATATGAGAATGCCAAGTTATATAAAGAAAATACCAAGTGCTGGCATGATAAGCATATCCACCATCGCGAGTTCGAACCGGGCCAATTGGTTCTCTTGTTCAATTTGAGGTTAAGACGCTTTCCAGGGAAGCTCAAATCGAGATGGTCGTGCCCGTTTGAGGTAGTAAGAGTCACTCCACATGGTGCAATTGAGTTGCACGTCTTAGGTGGCGAGAGAACATTCTTAGTGAACGGACAAAGAGTAAAGCTCTATTATGGAGGTGGCTTTGATCGTCAGAAGTCGAAGATGTTACTTGCTAATGATTAGACGAGATTTTGTGTCGTGCCGCGACGTTAAATCAGGCTCTTGTTGGGAGGCAACCCATCTTTACTGTTTTATTTTATTTTTATTTTTTATCTTATTATTTGTTGTAGTGTTTGTTTTTGTTTTGCAGGATTATAAGCATAGGAGGAAAAGCCATTGGAAGTGTGCAAAAGCGAGTTAGATGGTGAGAACTAAGTGTGGGGTGCCCACGCAAAAGACCATGCCTGGGGGAAATCTGAGTACCCCGTGAGCCGCTATTGCTTCGGCCTTTGGCCTTTCAGGGATTTTCTTGTCCACCCTCATATTGTTTTGCTTTATTTGTGCATTGGGGATACTGCACTCTTTTAAGTGTGGGGTGGNGTCTAGATAATTAGTAGTAGGATATTAGAAAAATGTTAACTTCTTATTTTTTTTCATTACTGATCTTGTGGACACCATGTGAGATAATGCGCCTATGACGGAAAGATTGGCTGCAATGAGGATGGATCAGACAGTAATGTTGGACCAACAATCTTGGAACAATTTGCCTGACAGGTTTTTGCAAACTTAATGGACAGTATAGCTAGGTTCAATTCTTAATTCTTGACTTTGAAAGTGTATTTAATGTTTCTCATGGATATGTCTCTAACAAATTGTAATAATCTTTCCAGCAATTCATTTGAGATTTGAACAATAACTGTACATACTGCACTTTTGAAGTAATATCAGTAGTTTCAAGTTTTTTTCTAATTAGTCCTTTGGTTTGGTGCTTTTGAGACGCTATTAGTCCGAATTTAGTGTTCAACTTTTTATTTAGACAAAGAATCTTCTGTTGATACTGTTAAACTAATAAGCTTGATCATGTGTTACAAACTGTCTAAACTAATTCTACTACTGAAAGAGATGAGCAGGTGCTTAGCTCTACCATGTTTTAGGTCTCTTCCCCTTTCTTATTTTACATATATTCATATGAGAATTTGGCTTCTTTTGCGGGTGGAGCTAGTGTACATGTTACATAAATACTGTATTTATGTTGGAAATTTATTAAATATGTACAAATTATTAATATCTAAAAACTAATACCGCCCAGGCGAATTTTAGGATCTTCGTATTATCCTTATACTTAACTTTTCCACTAAAATCTTAGTGGCAAGTGTTAATAACTCCAAACATTAAGTGGGCAATTTTGATACTCACGTCATGGGGAACATCAAAAGTGATGCATGTTTGAGCCATTTGAAATTCACTTGATCTAGAAAAAATCACATGAAACTGATAATGAAAAACAAGATCATGTTCGGTTCCTTTGATTTCGTTGCGCGCACGCACACAAATTAAATCGTACATAGACAATTCGCATTTGATATAACTATCGTGCAAGTATTTTACTATTAAGAATCAATCAGTTTCTTGTTACAGATTGTATATTGATTTATTATAATTATAGGATATCCCCTTTCGCGAATGACTATTTATCCGAGTAATTTCTGATATTTGGCTATAATTTCATATTTTTAGTACATTACTTACCTTACATTTTGGGGCTTCTAAACTATACTATATTTGTGCTTAATTGAATTTAATTTATGTGTAGGTATGTTGAAGACGAAATTAGGAGCAAAGTAAAGATTTTATGTGTATTTTATATACTACAAGAATGGAGTTATGATTATTAATTAGTGGATATATAAGGATTAAAGTTTAACATTACAAAGGAAGACAAAAGAGACAAATCAAAAGAAGACAAAAAGAACAATTGAAAAAAGAAAAAAAAACGTGAATTGGAAATGTTAGGCAACAAAATTGAATCGAAACAGCAGCAGGCGTAGCGAGCTACTTTGCTCGCGTTAGAGCAGGCGAGGCGAGGATTAAAGCGCGCAACAGAGCTTGCGTCGCACGGGCTACAGCGAGATGAAGCTCGTGTTTTGCCTCGCGCCGCGAGGCCTGTAGCGGGGGTGTTCCGAGATTTAAAGCCTATTTTGTCTCATTTTTGATTTTGGACTTGGTTATTTCGTCTAGGCTTTTTTCCTATACATATAAATAGTCATTAAACACTATTTTTAGAGGAATTTTTGCAACCGGAGGCAAGAATATCACTTGGAACAACTTTTGGAGGAGAAAATTATCGAGTTCTTCATTCCTTTATCTTTTGTTTGTAATTTGTTTATGCAAAATACTTGGAAAATTATTACTACGAACATGAGTGGCTAAGCTTTAACGACCCGACTTGTCATTTTAAGAATTAACACCCCATTCAACGACTTAAGGTCTTGAGTAGCTTCGTATTATATGTATTGACTTGCGTGCATGGTTGAATTCAGTTACCGGATGATTCAGGGTGATTTGGGACACTCAGTCCCTAAAGCGGAAGCTTAAGTCTTAGGATTTTGACCATAGTCTGAAATGTGTGAAGATGACTCCGGAATGGAGTTTCGTCAGTTCCGTTAGCTCCATTGGGTGATTTTGGACTTACGAGCGTGTCCGAAAAATTATTTGGAGGTCCGTAGTGGAATTAAGATTGAAATGGCGAAAGTCGAATTTTTGGAAAATTTGACCGGGGGTTAATTTTTTGATATCGGGGTCGGAATCCGATTCTGGAAATTTGAATAGCTTCGTTATGTCAATTATGACTTGAGTGCAAAATTTGAAGTCATTCCAGATGGATTTGATGTGTTTCGGCATAAGATATAGAATTTGAAAGTTCAAAGTTCATAGATTTTGATTTGAGGTGTGATTCATCGTTTTGATGTTGTTCGATGTGATTTGAGGCCTCGAGCAGGTCCGTGTTATGTTATGGGACTGGATGGTTTGATTGGACGGGGACCCGAGGGGCTCAGGTGAGTTTCGGGGTGGTTTCGGACCATTTTTAGGCCAATTATAGCTGCTGGTGTTTGGCTACAGCAGTGTGCTATGCGATCGCGAAGCACAAAATGGGGGAAAATGGCCAGTGAATCGCGATCGCGGAAGGCCTTTCGTGATCGCGTAGAGGAAATTTTCTGCTGCACTAACCCGAATTTGGAGGCTTATATCTCGCAATCTATAAGAAATTGATAGATTATCCAAAAGTAAAATTATAGCTCTTTTTGTCTAGTTTTCAGAAATGTAAACTATTTGTAATTTGGAGGTGTGTACAAAAAGTTATGGTGGATATACTACAGGCTGTCCGAGAAGAGTTTGGAAATCTCTGTTGCATAGGGCTGATTCTGAAAGCTTATATCTCGAAATCTATAAAGAATTAGGAGATGAGAGACAAAGGAAAGTTATAGCTCTTGGAATCTAATTTTCAGAAAGTTAAACCATTCATCATTTGGAGTTTTGTACAAAACGTTATGACCATTATACTAGAGGCTGTCTGGAAGAGTTTGGATGTTTGTTCTTCGCGATCGCGATTGGTTTTCCGTGATCATGAAGAGCAATTTTGGGGCTGAAAAATTTTGTGCTTCGCGATCGCGAAGAATAAATACCTGGGCAGTAGCTATATTTTGAGTTTTCAGCCATTTTAAACATATTTGGAGCTATGGAGCTCGGATTGAAGTGATTTTTGAGGCGGTTTTCACCATATGGATTGGGGTAAGTATTCTATATCCTAAAGTGTTTATATTTCATGAATCTA